ATTTTCCCCATTTTCCAGGTTTTCCCCCCATTTTCCAAGGTTTTTCCCTGGCTTTCCATGATTTTCCCATTTTTTTCACCGATTATCCCCATTTTCCCCCTGACTTTCCCCATTTTTCAAGGTTTTCACCCCTATTTTTCAAGGTTTTCCCTCACATTTTTAGAGGTTGGTTTTTTTCCCCATTTTCAGGGATTTTCCCTGCTTTTCCATGATTTTCCCTTTTTCCCCCTAATTTTCCCCATCTTTCAAGGCTTTCCCCTGCTTCTTCCACGATTTTTCCCGTTTTTCCAGGAATTCTCCCTCCTTTCCCTCCCCTTTTTCCCAAGGAATTGGCTGAGGATGGATAGGATCGTTTTCCCACAAAAACCCCAAATCCAAAGGGATTTTTCATGGAATTCTCCCCTTTCCAGGGCCCCTTCCAGAGGCACCTGTCCCGTAAATCGGGAGAAAAAAAAAGAAAAATAGAAAAAAGGGAGGAAAACTCCCTTCGGAATCCCTTTGAAGTCGGATTTCTGGGAATTCGGGAGGGATCCGAGCCCTTGGAGCCGTTCCCGGCCTCCTCCTCCGGAATTTTTTGGGATGAACTCGCCTCGAACTCCTCTTCCAGCTCTTTTTTCCTCAGGTTTCTGAGACTTTTCCTGGAATTTTGGGGATTTCTTGGGATCTGATCCCGCCCCATCCCCAAATTCCCCTCGGGATCCCCTCAGGAATTCCCAGGAACCTCCAATCCCAGATATTCCTGGCCCATGGATTGGGAAAACCCCGAGAATTTGGGCCCAGGATTTGGAGAATCCTCAGGAAAACCAAATTCCCACATTTCCTCCCCTTTTTCCCCCTATTTTCCCACTTTTCCAAGCACCCAGACCCAAAATTCCCATAAAAAACAGGAGAAAAATCTGAGTTTTCCTCCCTCAGGGGATTAAAAATCTGGGATTTGGTCATTCCAGGTGTTAAAAATCCAGAGTTTTGGCCATTCCCAAGGTTAAAAATGGGAATTTTGGCTCCATTGGAGCAGATCCGTGCCCTTTCCCACCCAGAAAAATTTTGGGAAAGGGGCCCAGGTTTGGTTAATCTTTAATTCCCTGGGGGAGCAGTGAATTCCAGAGGCAAAAGTCTGGAAAAAAAACGGGATCCGTGTCCAAATTCCTGGGATTTTGGGGTCTTTTTCCCATTTTTTTGGGATTTTTGGCATTGAGGTTTGGGAAATTTGGGGAATTTGGGAATTCAGATTTCAAGGGTTGAGGGAGAGGGGGAAATTTGGGAAACTGGGGGGAAATCTGGGATTTTTTGGGATGAAAAAGAGGGGAAAGGGTGCTGGGGGTGGATTTAGGTGGGGAAATTTGGGAATTCTGGGATTCCCATCCCCCTTTTCCCAGCTCCCGGATCCCGTGGGATAATGAATCCCATGGAATTAATTCCCTAAAAATCCCTTCAAATTCCCAAATTACATTAATTCCCGGAGCCTCATTTGCATATTCCCTTCATTTCCTGGGATTCATTAAAAGGGAATTTTTTCCCTGGGCTTTTTCCCCATTCTGGGCTGGATTTTTCCCATTTTTCCTGATTTTTTTCTTTCTCTGTTTTTCTTTCTTTCCCTCTTTTTTAATTCACAATTTTCTCATTATTTCCCATTTTCCCTGTTTTTTCCATATTTCTTTCCCTATTTTCTCATTAATAATGATTCCTAATAATTATCCATATTATTATTATTAACTAGCAATAATTCTATTTATTATATATCATTTATTTATTTAAATTTTCTAATTAAAATTAATAGAATTATTATTAGCTATTATTAATTGTACATTAGTACCATTATATACTATCCTTCTGTTATTATTCTCCTATTATTATTATTATTATTTTAAAATTTTTAGTCTATTTTACTTATTATTTATTCTTATTTCTCATTAACTATAATTGATTCAAGTTATTAGGGTTATTATTAATTATTATTAATTCTTACCATTCTATTTCTCCCTTCTATTATTATTAAACCTAACTCTCATTAGTAACAATAATTATCAGCACTAATTATTAGTCCAGCTTCTGTTGATTATTAATAACTTCTATAATTGCTAATAAAGATTTGGATAATAAATACAATGGATTAATAACAAATTACTGTAAATATTAATAACTATTTTTTAAATTATTCATATTCTCATTTTTTATTCCCATTTTTTCCCTGCTTTTCTCCCCCTCTCCCTATCACCACCTTTAATTAACCCTCACCTAATGAATCATTAATGAGCTCCTCTCATTAAATCCTCATTAATTCCTCCCCTCCCCCACTCCCACTCTTACAATTTTTTATTTTATTCCAATTTTTTTTTTCCCTCCCCCTAGAATGGGCAGAAAAAGCCGGAAATTGGAAAAGCCCAACAGGAAATTGAGGTGGGATAAGATCGGGAGGAGAATTCCTGCCTGGAATTTTAATGGATCCAAACCTCAGCCCAAAATCCCTTCTTTTCCCGCTTTTTTCCCAAAAAAAAACCCCAATCCAGGAGGAAAAAGTTTTTTTAAATCCCCTAAATTTCCCATTGTTTTCCTTCTTTTCTCCCCCCACAAGTCCAGGAGGAAAAATCAAAACTAAAATCCCACTTTTAAGGAAAACTATCCCAAATCCACCAAAAAAAAAAAAATCACCTAAATTTCCTAATTTTTCCCCTCTTTTTTTTCCCCTTTTTTTTCCCCAGAAAACCCAAAATCCGGTAGAAAAACGGTCCCCTAAAATTAAAAAAAAAAAAAAATTTAGGGGAGAACTCCCCCAAAAATTGCCAAAACTCAGGGGTTCCCATAAAATAAAAGGGGCTGGGAAGGGAAACCTCCGGAAAATCCAATTCCAGCGGCGGCTCCGGGCGGGGGCTCCGACCCCCCCGGCTCCAGCGGAAATTGCTCCGGCAGAAATCCGGGATAATCGGATCAGCTCCGTTATTAAATTTTCCAGCCCCGGCTCCGTTATTAAAATTCCCAGAATTCCCAGCTCCGGCACCAAAGGGGAAAAAAAACCGGATTTTTTTTTTTATCCCTTCTTATTTTTTTCCCTGCTTTTTTAATGTGGCTGGGAAAGGGGAAAACAGGGGGAAAAAATCTCCCCAAAAATGGGAAAATCCCAAAAAATGGGACCACATCCCGAGTTTTCCTCCACGTGGGTGGGAGGGGTGGGAAAGGGATCCCAAAAATGGGATTTTCCAGGGTTTTTTCCATGGAAAAGCTGCTTGGAATGTTCAGCTATTCCCAAATCTGGCCTTTTCCAGGGAAATGGGGCCCAAAAATTGGGATTTTCCTGGGTGGTGTTTCCCTGGAATGTCCATCTTTTCCCAAATCCTGTCATTCCCAAAAAATACAGGGCCCCAAAAATGGGGATTCTCCTCGGAAAAGAGGGATTTGGGATCATTTCTATTTTCACAATATCCCAATTCCCATTCCAAATTTTTGGGGAGATTCTGCCCTTTCCCAAATCCCTCTGGAAAAACCCAAAATCCCTGGGGAAAAAAAAACCCAAAAAACTCCTGGGAAAAAAACCCACCCCCCCACCCTTTTCCCACATTCCCGTTTCCATGGAAACCCCGACGGAATTATTGGGATTTAAGCGGATTCTGGGGATATTAAGAAACCTTGGAGAGGCTCTCCAGGAATTCCCAGGAATTTTAATTCCCACTAATTGGAGCTGACGGGGATTTTATGAGCTTGGGGTTGCTTTATTCCCAAAAAAGGGGCTGGAAATGTGGGGAAAAAACCCCTTTTTTGGGAATTCTGATGGGAACATCCCAAACCCCCCCAAATACTGGGATACAAAGGGCGGAAATGTCCCAAAAACCCAAATCCCAGGATGTTTCCCCCCAAATCCCATTTTTTTTCCCCAAACCTCAGGATTTTTCCCCTGATATCCCAAATTCTTCCCCCAACCCTATTTTCCCCCTCAAATCCTGGGGTTTTTCCCCCAAATCCCAGGATTTTTTCCCCAAATTCAGGATTTCCTCCACAAATCTCATTTTTTTCCCCTGAAAATCCTGGTTTTTTGTCCTGTGAAATCCTGAAATATTTTCCCTCCAGATTCAGGGATATTCCCCCCAAACCCCAGGATATTTCCCCCAAAACCCCTGGGATATTTCCCCACTCCAATCCTGGGATATTTTCCCCCCAAATCTGGCAATATTTTTTCCCCCACATCTGGGGGTATTTTTCCCCAAATCTGGGGAACATTTTCCCTGAATCCCAGGACATTTCCCCCCCGACCCGAGGACATATTCCCCCAAATCTGGGGATATTTCCCCCCACATCCAGGGATATTCCCCCGCAAATCCCAGGATATTTTCCCCCCAGATCCCAGCATTTTCCCCCGAAC